CATCCCATTGTGACAATTTTTTTGTCCGTTTAAAGGATTAAATTGTGAAATCTAATAATTTCTACAAGTGTCGAAACAATAATCTTCTATATTGTGAAGTAGAGAGTGGATGAACTCACGAGTACAAAGTAGAAAGGAGTAAAGGACCACCGACAAAAAGAGGACCACATGAATAATGGTGGGATAGAGTAAGAAGAAAATGTTGGTATGGCTCGTATATTGACAAAAGAAGAAGGCACGCTGATGCCTGTGAGCGTAACAGAGCGAACGTAGCGAGGGAAGCAGAGCGACCGAGCGAAGTGAGCGGATTGGAGCGAGGCATATTGCCGAACCACATAATAATAAAGATCCCTCAGCCGCCGTGGACGTAGGCATATTGTCGAACCACGTAAATCTTGTGTTGTTTACTTTCTCATTTTTTAATTCGTATGTCATATTGTTATCTTCTGTCAACAGAAAACTTACAAGTGTGTACGTAATATATGTTTTCTTTTACTAGTGAAGTAAGATACGAAAAATATTGAGTAAACTAACTACAATTCTAGTATGGTTTCATTCCATTTATTATTTCCAATTGCAAATGAATTCAAAAGTATTTACTTGAATACGCCAAGATATATATATATATTTTTTTTATTCTTTGTTGGAATATCACTTGTGAGTTGTCCCATATTGATTCTACAAGGTAAATGAGTTTAGTTTATAAGTCTAGTGCGCTACTCCTCCCATCACCCATTGGTTTTGGGATGGAACCTCACTAAGGTGCATCTAAGTTCACCCTCTTATGGTGCGCTTCATCTGGTGGTACCGTACCATTCTTCCCTCGGTTCTAAATACATAAAAGTTGTCTTGCTTGAGGTTGCTAGGCGAGGTCTGGCTGTTGTGGAGAGGGCTTTCGTCATATTTTTATGTTTGTTTTGGTTGGTGTTTTGGCTGTTTTGTGTGTTTTCTGGTTTTCTCTCTTTTTTGGAGTGTGTTTTTTGTCGTCTCCATTCTGTAGGAGTATTTTCGTCTCCCTTATGTAGGAGTATTTCCGTTGCTCTTGTGGAGTTTTTTTAGTCTCATAGGTGTGAGTGTTTCCTGGGGTTTGTCTCTTTGGCCGTGAAGGGTCGTGTAGGGGAACACTTGTGTTTTCCCTCGTTTGGTTTTCTTTCTAGTCTAGACTAGTAAAGGTTGTCAAGTGTAATTTGTTGATTACCGGTTTGTACTTTCGAAGTGTGGTAATATGCAATTCGATTTTTGGCAAAAAATAAAAGAAATGTTGTCGAAGAACAAAAATGGAACTGATAAGCGATATTTTTTTAAGGAATGGTGTAATGATTTTGAGTTATGAATAATATAAGATAAAAGTAATAATTATAGCATATATGATATAAAAAAATAAATGACAAATATTTATTAATAATGATTTAATTAAATACTTACATAGGTGAGTGGATAATATTGTTTTGAGTATATGTCATAAAATTCTTAATTTGAGTTGGTAATAATAATAATAGGAAATGCTACCATCCTGTTATGGGATACTTTCGTTGTCGTTTGTAGCCGTTGATAAATAAATTTTTAGTTTTCAATTAAAAGGAAAACAAAAAACCTTTTTTACTCAAACACGTTAGCCACACAAGTGTACAACGTTTGATTGGACCGTAACGACCAATTATGTCGCAAATCGTCGCCGCTTGCATCGGTCATAAATCAAAATATCACGACATTATCCACTCCACAATTAAAACAAAATAAATAAAAAATATTATAAAATACATTTAATTAATTTATATTTATTTTTCAGGGGCCCACACACCCAGTCGTCACCTCCTATAAATGCCTGCGCAGATCCCCCTCAATCGGTACACCCAAACACAACACAACGATAACTCCTCATAATTCTCAAATTGCCCCCACATTTTTATAATAATTAATATTCAGCGTTGTTCTACGTATATAAAATTATCACCATGTGTGGAATATTAGCTGTTTTGGGCTGCTCAGATGATTCTCAGGCTAAGAGGGTTCGGGTCCTCGAGCTTTCTCGCAGGCAATTATCTTCAACTTTTTTGTTATTTATTTAATTTCTTGATAATGCTACAGTCCCGTTACGAAACCATTCTGTCGAGATTTGTAACCGTTAGATCATCATGTAACTGTCGTGGATAATTGATTTAACGGTTACAAATCCCGAAGAATGGTTGCGTCACGGGACTGTAGAATCTCCCATGTAAGACATTGCCTTTGTTTTGTTGTGTCATGTTCGTTGTGGATTTTTGTGGACATTATTGTTGTTGATTGATGTAAATTATTATTATTATTAATAATTTTTTAAACTCTGATGGGTTGAAAAATGAACGAATGAACAGATTAAAGCATCGTGGACCCGATTGGAGTGGAATATATCACTACAAAGACTGTTATTTGGCCCATCAGAGGCTGGCGATTGTCGACCCGGCTTCCGGTGACCAGCCTTTGTTCAATGAAGACAAGAAGATTATAGTTACTGTATGTGATTTTTGATTAGTACTCTCTGTGTATTATTTTGTCGAAAAAAGCGTAAAAAATCGACGTAAAAAGCTTCGGTTATTTATTTTTAGGTGAATGGAGAAATCTACAATCACGAGAAGCTTCGTGAGCTTTTGCCGGATCACAAATTCCGTACCGGGAGTGATTGTGATGTCATTGCGCATCTCGTGAGTAGTTCGTTTTATTCTTGTCGTCGAATTTTATTTTATTTTTTAATCAATTATTACATATGAACTGTCTTAGTTTTGCCCTTCTTAGTATGAAGAGTTTGGAGAGAATTTTGTGGACATGCTGGATGGAATATTTTCGTTTGTGCTGCTCGATTCTCGCGATAACAGCTTTATTGCGGCTCGTGATGCGATCGGAATAACTTCTCTGTACATCGGCTGGGGACTCGATGGTACTCTGCTCGATCAATTATATATCTTAATTGGTTTTTGATTAGAAAAATGATGAAAACTTTTAGATGAAATGATTTTTTTTTTTTTTGTTTTTTGGTCTAGGCTCTGTGTGGATATCGTCCGAGCTTAAAGGGCTGCACGATGAATGTGAGCACTTTGAAGTATTTCCTCCGGGTCACATATACTCGAGCAAGAATGGAGGTTTTAGAAGATGGTACAGTCCTCCATGGTTTTCCGAGTCTGTTCCTTCAACTCCTTACGATCCTTTGGTCTTGAGGCACGCTTTTGAACAGGTGAGATTTTATTGATTTTTTGCATATTTTAAGTGATTTTTTTAGTTAGGTTATAAGCTTTTTATGTTCAAATAAACTTCGTTGGTAGGACGAACATTTTCTTAAAAAGCTCGAACTTATCTCATTAGGTTTTTTTTTTTTT